AGTTCGGTTTGCAGTTTTTTAAAATAATTTTTGATATATTGATGGACCGAACTTTGTGATTCATTCCACTATCATAAACTTCTGTCTCCTTTCAATCCATTGCTGTGTGCTCTTGTTTTTTTTAGGTTCAGGTCGTTTGGCACGATGGCTCTTCTAGGCGGAGGGCTTCAATGATCAAAAACAGCATGGAACTTGCACAAAATCGAACTTACAGCGCTAGAAGTCAGGTTGTCGTTACACTGCAAATTCTTCATAACTTCCCTCTTAAGTCCTTTTACGGGCAGATTCGAGGCTAAGTTGAGATAAAAAAAAACCGCAAGCACAAAAGAAATTATGTGATAAAAGACCAGAAACAGGGTCAAGGAAATAAATTATTGTTCGGATAGATATAAAAGTGTAGGACGTTATTTTACGGGCTCGAGGCTAAGTTGAGATAAAAAAAACCGCAAGCACAAAAGAAATTATGTGATAAAAGACCAGAAACAGGGTCAAGGAAATAAATTATTGTTCGGATAGATATAAAAGTGTAGGACGTTAGGCTGATTACTCGAAAGTTTGAATTAAACTATGGTTTCACTCCACCCGAATCCCCAAACACTGAAAGCCCTCTCTAATCCACGACATTTGAAAATATGGTGACCGGGTTCAGGTCCAGGCTGTAATGAGATGGAAATCAACCATCCAGGATAGTCTATACATGGTAGCCGCGAAGTACTCCACTCCAAAAGTAAAAAAACAAATCGGAAATCGTTTGTCGGAGGTAACATGGCTTGTGTTTAGTGCTAAAAAGATCGCCAATGTCACTTACCTAATAGTCAAAACAGGTTGTTCACGTTTAGTACTTATTTTTGCTACCTGTGGATACATCGTGAACTTCTCAGTCCCGAAACATCGTCTGAACATCAAAAGATATAATCAATAAAAATGCATCTGGTTGGGCTTGGTTACCGGGTCATTCCGAAGGTCCCGCGAAAAGAATACTCAGAATGACGGAACGTGCAAGATTTTCGAAACAATGGATGACACACAAAAAGTTGACTTCATTATCAGGTGAGTCATCAACTATGGTATCAAGCTGTTCAGTTTTGAAAGATACCAAACTCCTAGTGTCATTTGTTTCCTGGATCATAGCCGCGACAATCAGGTCCGATTGCCACTCAGACATTTGGCCGTGCAGCCACATAAAAAGACCAGACTGATAAAAGCCGAATTCGGTGCGGCATTCATTTCTTGATTAACATCATCGAAAACACAACATCAATGTTCGTTAATAAGGCTTCGCCGCCGTGCAACTAGTATTTGCTTGAAAAACTCACTGTGAGGAAAATAATGAAAGTGGATGGGGAGGGATATACTACTGACCTATCAAGGAGAGTGAAAACAAGGCAACTCACATCGATGAGCGGTCGCATTTTGTAGTGTCCCCAAACATGCACAGGAAGTATCTCGCAAACCAACTCCTATAAGGCAGTCCCACAGACACCCAAACTTTTTGTAATCGCCTGCAAACCCTTCAACGAGCCAAAGATTGGTCACATTTATGCTTGCACCACTCGTAACTTAGCAGGGAAAACAGAACACTTTTCGGCAAACGATAATGTGCGATACATGACCAAACCACCACACCTTTGGGTGCTGGATACATCCTTCATCAAAATTGGATTGAGTGGAGGCCTATAAGTCTGTAGTACTAGGAGTATTCAGCAGCTAAATTTAAGCGATAATGTTTAATGCTGGTACTGCTTCTCAGTGATGACGACTTGTTCGCAATTGCTGATAAAGGAAGAGTCAGAGAGAGTGCAGAGGACTTAATCAGGATGTGCGAATTCATGCCAGCCTTGGATAATTAATTGAAATAGGAAACACCTAATGTCTTTCCATCAGCTTCAGAACAGTATGTGGTGGCTCATATGCTCAACAGCTTTTAAAAGCTTTCTTTGGCCGACTTTTTGTCTCAAAGCGATAAGCCCGACACGTGGTTATTGGTGAGGTGGCTGTTGATCTACTCTCGGTGCTTGGCAAAAGCGTTCAGCTGTAGCACCCTTCCGGTGCCTAGCTGCCATGCCAACCGAAGGAAGCACGAGGGCTGGGATACTCCCAGGTTGCCCAAGCCTAGACAGAGGAAATCGAAAGGCGGAGGTCGGATTCGAACCACGGACCTTCCGGTCAGCAAATTCGCGCTCTAACCACTTGGGCCATCTCGGTGCTTGGCAATCTACTTGTGAATGTTCCGTCACTGAAGATGTCATCAGTGCGAACAGAGTAACAGCCAGTTCCTGATCAAAAGCCAGTGAACTCACCAGAGCTACCAATATTTCGACACATCTACAACCCCGATAAGTATCCGAAGTTCACGATTCACATCGTCCCTGAGGAGCTGCATAAAAAATCGACCGAGGTATAAGATACAATTCGCCTTGTGACGGCATTCGTTTTCATGGAAAAGAGCAGCTACGTGAACTAAGTTCGTACATTTCGAGAGTGATGGGGTCAAACAGAGATTCCCAAACAGACATTAAGAATGTGATTACTATTCACAAGTCAAAAAAGTCGCACGGAGTTTAAAAGTAGCCTACCTCGGCTGCTGCCTACTCCACGTCTCTGATTGTTCCGCGAAGAGGAAGACGACTGTACCGCTTGAGCAGAAAAGGCTAGAATCATACGTATACATAAAGCGAGCAAAACACATCGAACCTTTCAACAACATGGATTTGGCCGATTTAGCTCTTCCCATTTGCAATTCAGCTGCGTTCTCTTTCAATTCTTCGAAATCATTTCCGGTCAGTTTCAAGCCTGATTCAGAGCAAATGCTGACTTAATCCTCCGAAGAGACTTACAAGCAAGTCGTGAAATATCCTGATCATTCGGTTCTGTATGATCTGAACTATCAGAAGTCATGCGCATCAGGTGACAGTCGATTACAGGCCAAATCAAGGACTGTTATTGAAATGATTCCCGCGAGAGTGTGAACTACAGGCTAAAACAAAACAAAAACAAGCAAACGGTGATGTTCGGAAAAGGCAAACGAATGAATGTAACAGAAATTCGTATAACTATTTTCCATGACTTCGCACAAACAAATCTACTCTTACGACAGACGAGGTCCGTAGAGCACGGAGCAACCTGCAAAGCAGCCAGAATAATCAACAGGCTAGTAAAGAGTGAGTTGGAAAATACTACCCGTCTTGAAAATGAGTGAGTTGGAAAATACTACCCGTCTTGAAAATGAGTACACTGACTTTATCTGCCACAGCGTAGCTGTCAGGATAAGTAAAGCTACCGACAAACACAGGATCCTTGTTCTGAAGCCTCAACAGAGTACACGGGAGTGGATATCAATGAAAATCTTGAACATTTGAGTTGTAAATTTTATTGCGAAACAAGGGACTATTTCCGATATCCTATTGAGGGTGGGTTGTCATGGAGTGGTCGCCAAACGGTAGAACAGTAATCTACCAACCTTTCCATAGACCTGAGATCGATGCCTAGGCTCGTAGTACCCTGAGGAATGCACTCCACCTTAGAGTCACCGGCAAAATTGAACGGAAGTGAGGAAAAAGGACACCTATGGCTAAAACCACACAGTGTGGGTAAAATATTGAAGAGTCGATTGCAAACTCTAGCGTGACAAAAATTATAGAAATAAATGGTGGGAAGAGTAACAAGCTATAGTTTGAGGTCACTCATCGACTGCTAAGTACGGGAGGTCCCGGACTCTAAACCCTGAGGTTCGTTAGATGCACACGGTGTATACTTGTTAGTAAAATCCTACGGAGGCTTCCATGAACTCCAGTTCATGAGGATCCTCACAGGTGACAAGAATTAAAAATTGAAAAGTTTTGACAGTAGCGATATTCCACAGTAAAGGTGTAACAGGATCAATCTGGGTCAGTAGCCCGATAAACCTTGAGTATCGCTAGTTCCACAATCTTCCAAGTTTTTTGTGACCTAATGTGAGGAGGTCGCTGAAAAGATTGCCACCTTATGTTGGTTTATGTGCACTGCAATTGCTTCATGTGCTCTATTCGCCCAAGATATAACGGTCTCATTGAGCAAATTCCGGCGACTTGCACGGTTTATGTATGCACGCTCTGCGAGTGTTGTAGACAAACCAGTGGTACCTAAAGCGCCACCAAGCGACTATGCATAACAATAAGGTCGCAAATGTGTTCATCATGCACGCCAACCGTGTATGAGACTAACCAACGAGAGAATGTTTACGAGGTTGTGGTAATAGCATCAGCCATGAACTTTCAAGGTAGAAAGATATATTAATACCTCAGAGACAGTTGGATGGTCTAACCTCACAGGTCATGGCTCAAACTGAAAACGTCGAACGAGACATAGGCACAGGGGCAGACCACGGAGGTGCTTGCCAAAACAAGCAACTCAGCTATCAATAAGGTGGCTTTTGTTGTATATTAAATTCCAATTATTAGCCTTAACAACCTAAATATAAGATGGTGCATTAGGTGAACAACCTCAGAACGCAACCGGATTACACAGCTGCCAATGGGAAGTCGATTCATGCACAAGCCGATCTGAAGCAAATGATTGGCTGGTCCGAGTGACGTGGTCCATGACATACGACTACTCCAAACCACGCCTAGCTGCTTAGCAGAGGTTTGCACTAGCAACCTCGGCAGCTCGATGGCCAAGTGGGATAAACTCGCGCATAGGGGCCTGCTGGTCTGCGGATCGAATGTGGGCGACGTCTTCCGACTTCTTTCCGACTTGCCACGTCAGCATGTTTGTTCATAGGACACTGTAGCACTTGTAAACTGCTCTTTTTGGATAAACTCGTAGGGGCCTGCTGGTCTGCGGATCGAATGTGGGCGACGTCTTCCGACTTCTTTCCGACTTGCCACGTCAGCATGTTTGTTTGTTGGACACTGTAGCACTTGTAAACTGCTCTTTTTCATGCTCAGTATCATCTTCTTTTTTCCCATCATTACCAGCCACATCGCTGTACAAAAGTTTGTTTTACTGAAATACAACCGCTACCGCCCGCGCGTTGGCTCCAACGTGACTTTGAGACTTCTGCTGAGTGACTGTTGTTGTGACCGCCGGTTAGCTATATCTGACCGCTGCTAATACTAAACGTGAACAAACATTTCAGCTACAAACGCTGGACTAATATATTC